TTAAAAGACTTTTAATTTATTTATTTTAATTTTAATTTTATTGAGAAACAAATATGAATGAGAGTTTCGATAGTAATTATTGTATGTTGTTATCTTCTTAGTGCTTATCCATAGTACAAGAGGCAGACAGGATATCCTGTCCAAACACTGTTAGTACACCTTTTTCTTCTCCCTGAATTAAGCGAAAGTAGCTGTTTATCTATTCTAACTATTTTGTATATATAAATACAAAATGATCTTTATATCCCCCCTTTTTTTGTTTATTCCTGTCAAAGGTGGGTATTCTATTGGCATCTAAATACTATAGGTGTTTGAATTCAGCAAAACAATCCACACTGTCTAGCAGTCTATAATATTAGTGGGTTATCCTCAGAAGTTATTGACTTGAGCCTTTTACAGCTCATCGTATTAATATGGCTTTCTTTTTATACCTTGTTTTTATACTTTTCTGCTGGATGGTTAAGACTAAGATAAACCAAGACCTATATAACAAGAAATGTAACTTTTGTATCTGATAAGGTCAAGTGCTCTCACGATTACTCCTGTAGCCCTGTACCGTACTTTGTAGATCCTTTGTCAGTGTCAGCCATGAGGATGAGTCACGGCCATTACTTGACCAATTTGCTCTCTGTGAAAGCCTGAGAGAATGTTTTTTCTCCCATGTGACTCCTTAGGCACACTATACATCATTGATCACATTCCTCTGTGGCTCCATAATCTCCTTCATCAGAAACTTTGGAGCACAACTGAGTTACATGATGTTACAATACAGGTTCTCCTATGTCCCAAGTCTTCACTGACCTTGAAAGTCTAGGGCCAAAATGTTGGCTGAGCTTGCAGCCCTTCCGTTTCTCCAATTTTGATCTGCTAACTTAGATTGTTAACCCTCCAGAAGAGAAGTTTATTATTAACCTGCAAAATATGCAGTTCGGTTTACCCTATCTGTCTAAATAGCAAACATCTTTGGCATATTGTGGAACAGATATTTTCCATCAAATATTGATATGTTGAACTTTAAGTCCTTATAGAATAGAAGTAAAAATACTTTAAAAAACTAGAAATAAGTGTTTACATATTTTTACAAAGAAATTTAGAAAGCTAATATACAGAATTGTAACAGGACAGACCTGTGA